ACTGAGAACAGGGAACAGGCAACATCAAAATATGAAAGAGAGATAAAGTAGACTTTCCCCACAAATCTTTCCACAGAGCCACTCACCAGGAACTAAAAATGGTACCTCCTATATTCGCCAGTAAACATCTCACCATATAAAGAAAGGACTACAGGGACTGGCGAGATGTCCCAGTGGATAAAAGCCCTTGGCATACAAGCCTGATCACCTGAGTTTGATCCTCAGAACCCATGAACAGGATCCAGACAAGCACAGGAGCATGTTGTGAGATATTTCCATCACACTCTGACACTCCCGAGACTGCCCAGTAAAGTTTGCCTTGAATCAGGAGGTGGAGCCAGTGACTAGTTGACTGTGGCCATAGAGAAGCCAGCAATTTGGATAGAGAAGCCCCACAGGGAGGAAAGGGCGGGGACTGGAGGTTGAGCCCTCTTGGTTCTGGGACAAGGGAAGAGATGAGTCTCTTGTGGTGTCTCCGTTCAAAAAGCAAGGTCAGCTACTCAGCCTGACTGAGCTAGCAGGTTTCCACCCCAGCCTCTGACTTCTGAGTCTTATTGATAAATAGGAAAATGGAGACTTAATTTAAACCTACATATTGCGGCCACAAGCAGAGCTGGGGCTGTGGGACCGGAAGCCCTGCCAGGCCACTCGCTGCCTGAGTGGCCAAGGGGATGGCAAAGGATAATTAAAATATCAATAGACTCATATCAGTCACTGCACCAACAGGAAAACATCAGGAGTGCACATCTGTAACCCCAGCACTCCCATGATGAGATAGAAAACCGAGACTAGGAAAACTGGGTGTAGAAATGCAGGGCAGCAGAAAAGAGAGAAACCCTGCCTCCAGCAGGTGGGTGAGGAGGATGTGTAAATTGCCCTCTGAAATCCACCTTGACTATTCAGCCATGGTGCACACATGCACACACGCACAGCTGATTCTCAGGTTGTAGATCTGATTGGAGGCAACTTGAAGAACTAAACATGGTGATTGACGGATGCACATAGCTCCCTCAGGCTCCTTGATCCCACTGCATAACTCCACCCCCTACAAGCATACTTATCCCTCATTATGTTGTATAATTTCTGGGATTCTGAAATCAATTACTCTTACTCCTAAATCACTTAGCAATGAATATGCTCCTGTAGAAAAAAAGCTGTGGCCTGTCTGCAAAGCCTAAGCTCTGGCATGATAATATTTTGATGTGTATGCCCTCTGTCCGAGCACTCACACAAAAGGACATCATGTTAGTGCCTCCTTAATTCTTCTTACTGTCAAAATCCCTGCCTCATACAGAGTGGAATGGATGCTCTCATGTCAGTCAGCTGCTGTTGACTAACAAGTCCTCCAAGAATGTAGCCTTGCCATTGTTTGGGAGTCTCTGGCCCACCCAGCTGGACCCTCTATCGAATCCCCTCAGGTACCTGCCCTGAGGAGATTTCTCCCAGAGTCCTGGGGAAGAGGCTATGGGCAGTGGGGGTTACTAATCTGAGGGATATCAAATGAATCTACTTACATTAAACTCTTTAGTCCATCCACTTTATTCTTCTGTGATAAAATTCTATCTACACAGCTTCAATTCTGTTCTCTTCTTAGCTCCTCTCTGTCCCTTCTCCTCCTGTGCTCTCGTAGTTGTCTAAGTTCTTTCCATCCCATTTTCCTCTGAGTCTTTGTTCCCATCTCTACCCTCGGTCCTTCCTCTCCTCTCCCCGTGACCAGTGACCATACACCTACCATCAGCCACACGGCCCTCTGCGTTCTGGTTGGGTGGGGTAAGTCTGCTCGGAGCTAGGAAACCTGCCTCATAGGTTGATGTACCTGGTATGTAAAAACCCTTTTGTTCTAAATAAGTTGCTCAAGGGTGCCTCTTAGACTGTGAGAGAAAGTGGGGGTCTAAGCTTAAGTTTCACAAGAAGCAAGGCTGTGTATCCAGCATCTGCCTGGCCTAGGTGGTGTCTCCATATGGATATTTACCTAGCAGGTGGTCTGGAGAGCTTATTCTGTCTGCCATTTGTCTTTGGATGCTTTTGTCCAGAGCTGGCCCTGGCTCTGTGTGCTTGCTAAAGGAGATAATTGCAGAAGGGCGGACATCTGAATTCTAACGCTATAAAGAAGAAGCAGAAAGCCTGGAAGCAGGAAGCCTTGCCTGCATGACTGTATCCGAACACCTTAGTTGTATGTGCCCAAGGAATGATCAGTCTACAGAAGTTCTTAGAAAAGAATCAATTGGGAAAGCTGCCATAGTGCACAAGAAAATCATCACAGAAACCAGCTAATACATACATACATATACACATATATATGTATGTACATATATATGTGTATACATATATATATGTATATATGAGCTAATATCACCAAGACCCCTTGAGACTTGGCTTTTTCCTCTAGAAGAGCCCTGCTTCTTCCAGGTATTAGCCTTTGCCATAGTCATCTGAATTCCTGCTTCATATTTCTGTGGCCCGCAGCACCCCTCCAGGAAACTGCTGTGTCCACTAGAGACTGGCTGGTCTAAGACACCCTTGGGTACAGTTTGATTCTGCTCCGTATGGCCTCTCATCCTCAGCAATAGAGCCTGCAGTTCATTAGCAGCTGGGCAACTTCCAGGAGAGAGCAGGTGTGCACCAGCCACTTGACGCCTCAGCACAGAACTATGTGTCTCTTTCACTACCTAACAGCAGTGACGCTCAATAGACATGTGTTTGTGGAATACATCCATGCACCATCGAAAAGTGTTTCTTTTTCAAATTCTTATAGAATGGCTCCCTTACTCTCGAAGTACACATTGCTCACTCATCAACACCTCAAATAAGAATGGGATGATGAATGTGACATTTAAAGTATTGTATCATAGATAGTTTGTAGAAATTTCTATTTAATGATGAAATGTCAGTGTCTTACGTTACAGCATCTTTGAATGAACTACAACATGTATCACCCTTTATATACTTCAGAAAACGCATTTGATTATGTAGCTATGCTTTGCCCAAGGCCCAGCTGAGAGAAGTTTCAATAGGATCACTACATTAGAAACCACATAAAATCAAAATTACTAATCTATAAATGTCTAAAGTGACAGCTTACATATAGAAACTTAGGGGAGAATTGTACATTTATGATAGCTTAAATATTAGATATTTTATAATTTATGTTAACTGTTAAGTACCTGTCTTATGTAAGGTGTGAACATACAAAAAATTAGGTCCATTTCTGAGTACTCATATGCTTTAAATATCTTCATATTTTAGTGTTTATAATAAGTCAAAGTTTTAAATGATCTAATGTGGACAACATGTAAGAGCACACATGTATGAAAATGCTGTAATGAAACCCAGCACTTCATATACTAACCTGAAAATTAATTTAAAATGCAAAAATGTTAAAAAAAATCTAAGGAATATAAAAAGTATTAAGTTGTATAAGAACCCTGAGAAGATACAGAACTATTCCTGACAAAGTTTTATAGAGGCGACCAAGTTAACAATGATAAAATGAAATTTGATGATAACTCCAGCATAGAAAGCTGAGAGGGAAAAAAAGTTATTTAAAGTCCATCAGGGATGGTAGCTGTGCATATAATCCTAACACTTTGGAGCAGAGTCGGGGGTTGGGGGGTCACAAGTTCCAGGTTATCATGGATTATATAATAAAATCATGTCTCAAAAAGAGAAAATAGTAAAAGAGGGCAAAATACCATAATCATAATAAAATATGAATCATCAGTCAAGTTAATCTACACTCAGTGCACAATAAAGGAAACACACTGAGCCCGGACAGGCAAAACACTAGGCAGAATAATTAATGACACTAAATAAATACAATAATATTTTACTAATAATTACTGACATCTTGAGACTGGAGGCATATCTCTGCAGTTAGGAGTACCAGCTGCTTTTTCAGAGGATCCAGGTTCAGCTCCCAGCATCCACATGGTGACTCGTGATCATCCGTGACTCCAGTTGCAGGGGACCTGATTCCCGCCCCTGGCCTCCACTGACACTAGGCACACACATGTTGCGCAGATATGCATGCAGACAAAAAATCCATACACATAATTTTTTTTTATTTAAATAATTGCTGACATCTTCTAGTTGAGTGGATGCCACAGCCAGGGTGGTTTGACCATGTGGTCCTTTCGTCTGCTCAGCCTTCCTCTCTCACCCATACTGTCTCACCAAGGTAAGTTTTAGGTGATGTGGAGGCTGGGAAAGGAGGGTAGAAAAAATAGAACAAGCTGCTCTTTCGAACATGGGTGACCGCCCCGTCCTATAGCTGACGTGCCGCGCCTCCTTCCTCTTGGGATCATGAAATACCCATGCGCTGACCTGGGGTCACTCCAATCCTGCGTTTGCCAACCGCAGCCTGAACTCACCCACCCACTGACCAGAGCTCCCTCCCCCTGCATGGACCTGCTTGCCCGGTGCTTCTTTAAGGAATGGTGGTTCAAACTAGACACAGCTGTGTGACTAGAAAATGGAAAACAGAGACTAGGGGCTGGAGCAGTGGCCCAGCTGTTCAGCGCTCTACCTGCCCTGTTTGGTCACCAGCACCCATGTTTTATGGCTCAGAACTGCCTGTAACTCCAGCTTTGGGTGGTCTGGCACCCTCTTCTGGCCTCTGAAGGCACCTGCATGCACACACACACACACACACACACACACACACACACACACACACACAGAAACTGACACTTCTGGAGAAAACACTGAACATAGAAAGAATACAGGAGTTCCACAGTCACCATTACACCGAGATCCACAAAGTAGGGAAGAGGTGGTGGGTGATGAGGACTGAGGAATTTATCGGTCCTTTTGCAGCTGTGAACTTGTCCCGTTCACCACACTGCTGTTGACTAGAGTGGTGCTCCCCGTTCAGAGTTTTTATTAAAGCTTTCAAACATTATATTTTATGCACTGTTTGTTGGAGAATATAGAGCAAGATGGAAGCTCAAGTCCATCTGGACGATGTAGAGAGCGAAATTGACAGAGCGATGTCATGGTCCTCATGAGGATATGGACCGGTTCTGTGATGGTGTGGGTTGCTTTTTCACACAAAATATTTTCCAGAAAGCTTTCTGGAAATGTCTGTGACATAAGGGGTATAAAAATGGATTAACAAAAGAATTGAACCACTGTAGCCAAAAGGCAATGCTGTACCAAACTGATTTGGGGCGCTTCCCTTTGGGATAAGTTGAAAGAACAATTGTGAACAGACAATACGGAGCCCAGCAAATGGCAAACACAGTTAGCAGGATGGCCAGCGACCTGGCTAGTCTCCTGCCCCTGAGCAGTTCCATGTGCTCCCTGTGGTGAAGAGCCAGGGTTTCAGAGTGGGAGAAGGAACCCACTTTGAAGGCAATGACTCTGCTGTTCACGTGAGTTCTTAAGGACCCCAGGAGACTGCTCTTTCTTCTAGGACTTTCTGAGTGAAGGGGTGGGGCTGATTCCTTCAATGCAGGAAGAGATGTTCTGGAAACCAACCCAGCTCTGGGTAAGGGTCCAGAGTCACTGGAGGAGGTGGAGATGAACCCCACGTGGCTGGGGCACCTGCTGAGACTCCCACGCTTCCACAGGCTCCAGTAAATTTGTACATTGAAATAGGCCACTGAGACGACAGGGAGCAGGAATTCCAAGAACGACGTAACGGCAAGGATGTACCACTCTGTGACAAAGCCGGGCTCACATTCCTGTGTGTTAGTGCTGTTCTTCCAAGAATGGGAAGCCAGAATCATCGGGCCATTTACCAAGAAAGCCAGTATCCAAACAGCCACCATCAGAGCGACAATCTTCACAATACCAGTGTGCTGAGCTCTGTAAGACACCTGAAGAAACCAGACAAGTTAGTTTGGGTTTAATGAGAATATGTGGAGCATCCCACAGGCACTCACAAGTTCCAGGGATGTGCAAGAGCCACATGGATTAACATGGTGTTCGCCTTTTGCCCAGACACGAGATCAAGGGCAATAGAACCTTAGCCAAGGCGGAAACTTTCTCAATAAATTTCCAGAAAAAAACAGAAAAGCACCAAGTTGCCACAGCAAGGCCATGGGTACGATCTAAGATAAGCAAGTTTCCCAAAGCCTGGTGTGGTGGCATGAATCTGTCATCCTAGCACACGATGGGGGTCCCTGAGGCCTCCTGCCAGACAGGCTAGCCTAGTGGGTGAGCTCCAGGCCAAAGAAAGACCCTGTCTCAAAGGAGATGGGTGGCACTTTTCAGGATGATAGCTGAGGCTGTCTTCTAGCTTCTACACACACTTGCATACACACTTGCACACACATGGCACCTGCTCACATATGAACACATGTATATACATACATGAAAAAGGCAGATGGCACTTCTGGCCACCACATGCATGCACACACAAGTGCATGTGCACATGTGTACACATGCAGAAAGAAAGAGAAGGAAGGGAGGGAGAGGAGGAAGGAAGGAAGGAATTTTTCCTGACTCTAACAGTTACTGAAAGTGAACACATTCACCACATTCTCCATCTTCAGCCTAGAATGTGACAGCTGTTCTCTTCAATGACACAAAGCAGTCAATGTCAGAATGCATCAGAGTGGATGGATTGTGGGATGATGTTCATCAATGAAAGCAATGTATCTTTGAGATAATTCAATATCAATAAACGCATGGAGAAGCACGTGTATCACATTATAGGGCACCATAGTCAGAGTTTTAAAAAGCTTGAAGGTCATGAATTTTCTGATTCTGACACTCAGGAAGAATAAAAATATACTCAGCAGTTCACATAGGAACCCCAGAGTTAGGCCAATGATAGAAATAACCCTTGCACCACTCCCGAGAGACTGTGCACAAACAGAAAGGCACTCGGCATGTGGGAGAGATGCTATGTGTTTCTGAACACTCCCAGGGCACTTCTGTCTGCAAGTGTTTCCATCATAGCCAAAACTGACAACAGGCCATGTTGAGAGACATGACTACAGCAAGTGTCACTGTGTGTGTGTGTGTGTGTGTGTGTGTGTGTGTGTGTGTGTGTGTGTGTGTGTGTGTGCTCATGTGCACATGTGCCGGTACATGGCTTTCCTGAGGGTGATAAGGCCAGGCTTCCACAAGGAAAGATGAAGTTAGGTTCTGTGAGTGAGTGTTTGTTACCCTCTGTGATCTTTGTGTCAAACCCGAAATCTTTAAGAGTACCTTGAAAATCTAAAGGCATGAAAAGACCAATCATTTTGTATCAGGAATAAATATCTCAACCAAGATATCAAATCTAGGGCCCTGCACATGCCAGGAAAGTGCTCGACCACTGAGCTACATCCTGGTCATTCATTTTCAAGGCAAGAACTCGTTATTTAGCCCAGTGTGACCTTGAATTCACTGCATAGCCCAGGCTGCCCTTAAGCTTGCTCTCTTGGTCACAGAACCAAGGAGGGCTTTGGCTCGGTTTGGTTTTACATTTATTTATTTTTATGTATATGCGTGTTCTGCCTTCATGTATGTATACCACATGCATGCGTGGTGATCCCAAAGGTCAGAAGAGCACATCTGGTTACATTATAGGTGGTTGTGAGCCACAGTGTGGATGCTGGGAACCAGATCAGGCTCCTCTGGAGGAGCAGCCAGTGCAGAGAGAGGTTTCTGTGTGTTTTTATTCTGTGGGCATCAACCTCTCTGAAACTCTGTGAGATCTGCAAGGCTCCTTCCAGCAAAAAGTTCCAGGCTCTGCCACGTCCTCACTCACAGGAAGAGGTGCCAGCCACCTCCTCTCGTCCTCTCTGATTTGCTCTGAGTTTTCAAATCTCACTGTGCGTGTTTCACATTTTTGGAGCGAAGCAGTGCGGTCCTTTGATTTAGTTAGTGCACATGCATGCCAATGGCTGTCAGAAAGGGCCAAGTGGTCATTTTAAAGGTTTTTTTAACTGTAAAGAAATGTGACCCCACCACCACCAAACTCCTGGCGTTTCTGGAAGTAAGCTCAGAAGTAAGCTGGCCAAAACGATACTGACCACGAGCTCCCACACACAGCCTACTACTCATTTACCTTCTCCTTCTCATGACACTAATTAATACATCTCTTGCACCGAGTCTAACGGTTATGAAGATGGGAACAATACCCAGATGGTCATAAAACTGCACTTAGTTTTTTAATTGCTCTGTTCAGCCTTTGTAATGGTTTAAAGCAATATGCTAGAGATGCCATCTCTCTTTCATTATGCATGAGGTCGATTGAGATAATGGACATCCAAGGGACTTGAGAAGAGGATGCCAGTCTCATCATATCTTCATCTCTGGGGAGCATTCTTGACAGACGACAGTTCAAGCATTGCTGGAACCCAGACCCAGCTGATTGGAGTGGCCTCTCTGAAATCAGTCTCACCGTCTACAAAACATGTACATTATTCACGATATTGCCCCCTGCCCTGCCTCCTTCCCTACCCCAGTAAAAAAGCCAAACATTCTGTCAGTCATGTTCCATTTGGGAGATGGGAAGGCCCACTGGAACTTTCTGGTATTACTAATGAGATGAGTTGCTGTATTCAACTGCATTGCATCCCCAAATTAGTTATATTGGATCCTATCCACAAGTACCCGTGAATGTGACCTTATTTGGAAATATGGTGTTGACAGATATAATCAAGCCAAGATGACATCATATTGGACTTGGGCTCATCTTGATTCAATAATGATTGGTGTCCTTATAAGAAGAGGAAAAGTAAAAGACCCAAGTTTCCTTCTAATTTCTGCCTGTGAACAATTAGCTGCTGAGGTACATGTCTGAGCAGCCTGCCCCCATTCACTCATCCTCATGTGGAGATTTTTGTCATGCAGTCCACATAGTGCTGGTAGGGACCTAGGTACCCATCCTATTCCAAGTTTACAGCCTTCACTCAAGGCCACATGATGGCAGAGAAGGGGTTGTGGTGAAGTGTCTCCAAGCCTAGGATCACTCACGTCAAAAGACAAGAGAAAGACATGGAAGGTCTTCCTGGAGCCTTCAGAGAGGGGACATCCCCGTGGCAGCCACCCTGGTGTCAAACTTGTAGCCTCCAGAGCAAGGAGAGAGTTAATTCCTGCTGTTTTTAGCAGCACAGACCAGGGTCCTTCGCTAAGGGTCCCTAGCCAGTCCCCCCAATGCTATCCTCACAGTCTAGAGGTCATTGCCAAGCTCCTTTCTTTGTCTGAAGGTAAAGAACAAGCTTCTTGCCCTACCTTCATCCTACACTTTAATCCTGCTCCCTCCAGCTGTGGTCTGTCTCCACTGCTCATCTGCTTCACCCACTGCTGGTCCGTGACTCCCTCCAGCTGTGGTCTGTCTCCACTGCTCATCTGCTTCACCCACTGCTGGTCTGTGACTCCCTCCAGCTGTGGTCTGTCTGTCTCCACTGCTCATCTGCTTCACCCACTGCTGGTCCAACCACACAGAACCTGGCTCTTCCAGAGGACACCTCTGAACAACATCGTGGCCATCTGCATTGAAGTTTCATTTTCAAAATTATGGTCTTCAGAATGTCTGCTTCCTGGGTCCAGTTCCCCATTTCCTGTTGCCATGTCCTCTACGCACAGCTGCAGCAAAACTGAGTTTCGCACTAACACTGCGGGAGTGCTCAGGAGTCTTGGGTGCACTCTCAGCTGCCCTCAGGAGTCTTGGGTGCACTCTCAGCTGCCCTGCCATTGTTCACAGTTTCATGTGTAGGGTCTGTCCTGCACTCAGCTCTGTTCCTAGGAATGGAGGTCCAGTCCCTATGTCTTAGCAAATTGGCAGCCTTCACTGACAGAGAATTCTTTAGAACAAAACTCAGGTGAACACACACACACACACACACACACACACACACACACACACACACACTTCCTCTCTGGGTATTTTTCATCTCTTTGTAAGCCCATTTTCTAACTAGATAATGTGCTGCCCTTTTTGTGTCCATCAACTTGAGAATAGGCTCAAAATCTTGGACAACCAGTGGAGAAAGTCCAAGGAGCCACCAGAAAAGATTTAGGGGGTGGGGGCCAAAGGTGGCTCGGGAAGAGCACTCGTGCCTTACAGAGGACCCAGGCTCTGATCCTAGACTCCACCTTAGGCTTCTCACCCCCACCTGTAACCCCAGTGTCAGGGGGATCTGAAGCCCTCTGCTGGCCTCCTCATGCAAGTGCACACAAAGGCACATACACACCACAAAGATGCACAAACACATCATTAAAACTTTCTAAAGGATTTATAAAGATTTTTAAAAATCACCTTGAAAATTTTCAAGTGCAAATGAGAAATGTTCTGATTTAACGTGGCTTTTGGTTACAATCCAAACAGGTTTCATGACTCAATCCTAGGACAGGTCTAGCCTTTGGAAAACAGTGAAACTATTATCTGTGGCACTGATCCAGACATCCCCACTTCCTCTGCGGCTCACCATACAGACTGCAGTGCGCTGACATGGATGAAGACCCCACGACAACCAGCAGAGTCAGCTGACGGTCCTGTCCCATCCACTTTCCTCTTTCTCCTGTGCCAAATTGTAGCTCAGCTAGAGACTACATTTCCCAGATCCCTTTGCACTGAGGTGGCATTATGGGACTGAGCCCCACCAATGAGATATGAGTAGAAATGACAGTGACTCCATACCACTTGTTTAAAAGAAAATCCCTTCCTGTGGACCGCTATTCTTTTCTAGAATAGAAACCGGAGTACAAACAGCCAGGCTTTTCTCAGGCAGAGGGTAATGGCCTGGAGCAAGGTCATCACACTATTGTCTATGAAACAAATCTAGCCCACCACTTGGTTTAATAAATGAAGTTTTATCAGCATCCAACCAGTACACTGCCCGGCACACACACACACACACACACACACACACACACACACACACACACACACACAGTTGAGAATATGATACAAAACTGAAAACATTTACTCCTGGCCCCCAGACAACAAATGTTTGCTGCTCCTTGACCTATAGAGGACAAGTGTGGTGGGTAGCTGTTCCAGCTTTGACCTGGAAGTACTAGCCCCATTGAGGCTTCGGTAACTGTCACGCCTACAAGGCAGAGCCGAGAGAGGACCCTGAAGACCCAAGATCCGGATGCGCCCGCTCTGTTGGTTCCCGGACCCTGGACGCTGGAGGTAGACCGAGCAGAGTTCTCCAGAGAACACCGCCAGACTGCGCTACACCTTTCCCAGACCCTGTTACCTATCCCTTCATTTGTAAGTTACCCCACAAAATAAACCTCCCTTTTAACTACGTGAAGTTGCCTTAATAATTCTACCAATATCTGGTGCTCACGCGAGGCAAATTCCAAAGGCCTGGGTGGCTCCCACCCTCAGCCTCCTCTGTGGCTGCTGTGGCACACTTTCTGCACTTACTACACTTCCCTGTCTCTTCTTTCCTGTAAAATCTCTCAATCTCTCTCTCTCTCTCTCTCTCTCTCTCTCTCTCTCTCTCTCCTGGGGACCAACTGTTTACAACCAGGTAGCACCTCCATGGTTCCATTCCTAAAAAAGGGAGAAGCTAAATCTGGTCCCAGTTCCCGGCAAGTTTAGCCCCCAGACCAGCAGGAAACCGCTGTGAGTGAAACATCCCCCCCCCCTACCTACCACTGCTTCCTGCCTCCACCTCCTTCAACAAATCCCACCAGTGTGCACCACCATAACTGGCTAGCTCAGTCAGTAAAGCATGAGACTCTTAATCTTAGGGTCGTGGGTTCGAGCCTCACGTTGGCCACCAGATATTGGTAGAATTATAAACTCCGCGTAGTTAAAAGGGGGGTTTATTTTGTGGGGTAACTTACAAGTGAAGGGAAAGGTAACAGGGTCTGGGAAGGGTGAAACACAGTCCAGCGGTGTTCTCTGGAGGATCCAGGATACAGGAACCAAGAGAGTTGGTCTTCAGGGGTCCTCTCTCGACTCCGCCTTGTAGGCCTTGTAGGCATGACAATTACTGAAGCCTCAATGGGGGTAGTGCTTCCAGGTCAAAGCTGGAACAGCTACCCACTAGAGGAAAGGCCACCCAGTTAATGTGGGGGCTGGGAGGTTCCAGGGTAGACTCCTGGAGTGGAACTTTCTATCTTTTCCAGACAATTCTGTGAGAGTAAAGGAAATGTGTCTATAAAATACTACTTGAGCAGCAGTATTTTAGAATCTCTTTGTTCCAACAGCTTACCCTTTATCTAATCTACTTTCTCTGTGTTAGGTCCTCCCAGGCAGGAGCTTCTGCATCCGCTCCACACTGCCAGCCCAGCATGTGGTCAACAGACAGAACCCGTGGGTCTCCGGCTCCGCCTCCACCTAAGTCACTCCCCAGGTACTTATTTCTGTTTCTTAGCATCAGCAGCGTGGACCGTGCGATAGTCTCCCAAAGCTTGAGATCCTAAGATCCGGGAGTAAATGAAGGCTACACGGTTGCAAACAAGGGCTGGGGCGTGGCTCAGTGGGGAGAGCACTTGTCAGCAAGCCTGGGGACCCGAGTTCAGATCCTTGGACTCCGGAGTGCATCTGGAACGTCAACACTGCCCGGGAGAGATAGGAGTCGGGCACAGAAGCAAGCCCAGAACTGCACGGACAGGCTAGCCTGGTGTACACAGTGGAAAAACAATGTAGCAACCCTGTCTCAAACAGGGTAAAGCTAAGACCAACAGCTGAGGCTGTTCTCTGACCTCCACACCACACACACACACACACACACACACACACACACACACACACACACACACGAGAGACAGAGAGAGAGACAGAGACAGAGACAGATTTGTTTCTTCTTCTCCCATACATTCTACCCCAGCGGCAGTTTCCCCTCCCTCCCCTCCCCCAGCCCCCTCCCCCAGACCCACTCCTCCTCCATTGTTTTTGAGACCACAAATCACTGCCCCACATTTTTGTCCCTACCCATGCCCTATTTTCTCCTCCTCCGTTCTGTTGCTAAGAGATTTATCTTGCTTAAGAATTGCTTCTAGCTCACCCCTGAGGCTGCCCCAGATTCGGCTAAGTCCAGCCTCCTCCTCGCGCCTCCTACACTGGCCGGCTGCATTACCTGTCTCCTCTTCTGTGCTCAGATTGTTTTCTCACCCGTTCACGCTGCAGATCTTTCTAGTTGCCCACAAAGTTCTGTCCTGAGGGAAATATTTGGGGTCTCAACTTGGCCATGGGCATAAACCCACAGACATCCACGCTACTGAAGACTCGGTCTGGTACTTCTCCCAGTTAATCGTGAATTTTCTTTGGTCCCGTCCCTCCCATTTCAGACACCCATAGGGAGAGTTAGCCAGCTCACACAGAATAAAAGCCAGTGAGGACTCTAGGCCAGTTATCAAAAGGACAAAGAGCTTCAAATTTGTTCAAATCCCTTGAATTCATCCCCAATATTCCCAGTACAGAAATATATGCATGGCTTAGGGACCCAGAGTTTCCAACTATATACTCTTCTAAGGAAAATGAATTAACTTTGTAACTTACAGCGTTCGAAACTGACTGGTATCGATCGTAGCTAATGAGGACAATATTGTAGACAGATGCTGTACACAGAAGATAGTCAACAATGAGCCAAAATATGCAGATTTCACTTCCAAAATTCCAGTTAAACAACAAGTGAGGGATGTACAGAGGGATGGAGATCATACCTGTACAGGGAGAAAGTGAATTAAAAAACAGTGTTGGACCAGCAAATAGCTCAGTGACAAAAGATGCTTACCACCCAGCTTGACAAACCACCCTAACCCACATGACACACGAAGAGACCTGACTCCTGCAACATGCTCTGACCTGCACATGCACAGCACAGCATGCTGTGGCATGGACACACACACCACTAAATAAATATATAATCAATTTTTTATTTTTTTAAAAACATCACTGACTACAAAAAGGTATATTCTGATGGACATGCCACAGAATGGCATGTCAGAATTCACTAAAAATAGCTTAGTTATCACGTATGGAAAAACCTTGGTCTTCAGCATGGTAGATGGGGAAGCCTGTGGACTTTTAGGTTTTTAGGTCACTGGAGCATGCACAGAACAAAGGTGTGGGACAGACGTCTGTCAGTCTTCCCCCATTCCTGGTTCTAGATGTGAGTGCTCACTCACAACTATCGCCATCTGTCACCATCAGGAGCCAAAGAAATAGGCCACCCAGTCTTGGATTTGAACTGTCCAACTGTGATCTAATTTTTTTTCTTTCTAAATTCATTGCCTCGGATATTTTGTTGTAGTGATGTCGTGCCAACAAAGTTATGTATAAAAATTGTCAGTTTTCGCCCCCTATGCACTCTTTAAATGTCAGCATAGTTGCCACAAACAACACACCTGTGAGGGCTTCTTATTATTTCCCAAACAAAGCGCATATCATGGCTGCATTTCTAGTTGGATCCATCAAAATTCATCTGTATGTTCTTTGTGATCCAAGCCAAACACGGTGGGCCACCCTGCCGCAGCACAGGCCGTATTTTCCCATCCCTTCCTCTTTGCCAACATTGTTCTTCCTAGAGTGTCTTCCTCTTTTACGTCTTTATGCTGGAGATCAAATCTCAGACCTTACACTAGGCACATACCACTCTCCTCCTCACTTCCTCTTCTCTATGGAACTGCACATCAAAGCGTCCACTTCCTCCACCGCCCCTTGGAAGCCCTGGGACTCAGGGGATCCCTTTGTCGCTTACACTCCCGGCAACTCTTGCCATTGTTTTTAAAGGTTTGTGTGCATGTTATTCACAATAAAGAGTTTCATTAGGATGTTGTCATGCATGAGAATAATGTGGGGTTTTTTTTTGGGGCGGGGGAATGTCGAGACAGGGTTTCTCTGTGTAGCTTTGCGCCTTTCCTGGAACTTGCTCTGTAGCCCAGGCTGTCCTCAAACTCACAGAGATCCACCTGGCTCTGCCTCCCGAGTGCTGGGATTAAAGGCGTGCACCACCACCGCCCAGCTAAATAATGTATTTTTATTGTGTTATCTCCTTCGACCCTTCCTCTTCCCAGTCAGTCCCCTCCCCTCTCTCTGTGTATGTGTCTCTTTTATAAGTGTGTGTGTGTGTGTGTGTGTGTGTGTGTGTGTGTGTGTGTGTGTACATATGAATGCGTGGATGCAAGTTCACTCACCTAGGCAGGTGCACATGTGGAGTCTATAAAACAATGTCAGAATAGCTTTCTCAATTGCTTCTCCACCTTATGTTTTGAGATAGGATTTCTGGTTGAACCTGGGGCTCACTGCTTAACCCAGGCTGGCTGCACAACAAGCCCCTCGCATCCTCTTGCATTTGCTCCGCAGAGTTGATGTTACAGGCAAGCAAGCCATGCCCAGTGTTTACATGAATCCTGGGACCTGAAGTCAGATCTTCATGCTCTCACAGTGAGCACTACACCCCCTGAATCATCTCTCCAGCCTTTATGCATTTTGACCCTTTTCTCTGTTACTCATTTCTGCTTGATATCATGGCCATCATTTTGTTTGTCCTTCCTGGAGATTAATACCCTGAAACAAACGAACGTTTGTGTTCCTGATGTCTACTCTGGCCTCGCAATGTCCTGTGCATTCAACTTAATAACAGCTGATGTGTGAGCTGATGCGTGTTGTTGGCCGAATGTCAGGCATCAGTCACACTACCCATTACAAGTATCATTTCACAAAGAAAAAAGAAATTAAATGAAACAAATGATCTCATTTTTAAAAACACACAATAAAATATCCTCTAACTGCAAGCCTACGGAAGCCTGGTGAGTTAGGAAGCGGGCAAGTTTAACAATTAGAGAGCCCAGTGGGGTGACTTGGCTGCAATCTTAGCATGTGGGAGCCTGAGCCAGGAGAGCTATGGTGAGTTTGAGGTTAGCCTGGATTAAAAGGAGACCCTGTCTCAAAGAATAAACAAAAAACAGTTAAAGAACCTAACAACTGAGAAAGAAGAGACAAAGCATGGTCCAGTCTGCTGGTGGGTTCTAAAGAAGGCAATTTGAGATCAAAACTCCTAAGTGGCTACAGCCCTCCATGACAATGACCACAGTGACTGCCCAGCGCTGACGCTGCTGGCCCAGGAATGACTATGCTGGGCTGCCATTCCTTTGGTTCCAGGGGTTTCTACTGCGTTGGCACATCAGACAGGTGTCACTACTTGCTGAGGATGTGATCTTTCATGTGGCTGAAACCTGATTGATTCTGTTGTGTGTCTTTACATTTTATTGGGCTCTTGCAGACCTCCTCCTTGCTCTGCATCAGTAATTTGTTCATCGGTAAGAACAATAGTAAGGGGAAGAAATGAAAGGGGAGCAGAAGGAGACAAGCCCTGCTCTCTCTCTCCCCCCCACCACGGGGCACGTTTCCAGGCTATAGCGAGGATGGCAGAACTTGGTGTTTGTACCTGCGTTTGCACACAGATGGGAGACGCCTCGGGAGGAAGAGCTGGGTGAGTCACATGTAAGACCACTGTTCTACCGATGGCCTGTACTCCCAGAACTGCTTTTGCTTTCATTTTGAGACGGAGCCTGAACAAAGTTGCCAAGGCTGGCCTTGAACTCGCTCTGTGGTACAAGCAGACCCGGAACTTTCGAGTGCTCCAAGAGCAGCACACCCAGCAGCTGGGATTACAGCCTGTGTCACCAAACCTGTCACCCGTTCCCATGCGTAGTGCAGGTAGCCTGTCAGCTTCATGTCTCAGTTATGGGGGGAGGGGGGGGATGTGGTTTTATGTGGGGTTTGGTTCATTGAGACAGGGTCTCACTATCTAGCCCAGGCTGCCCTCAAATTCACTGTGTAGCTTGGGCTAGCCTGGAACCTGTGATCCTCCTGCCTTAGCCTTCGTCCAGGCCTGGGGCTGAGATTACAGGCATGCACTACCACCCTGTACTCCATGCTTTCCATGATCAGTAAGTTTCCCTGAGGTGACTTTTGCATCATCAGGCTGGGAGGCTGAGGTCAAGAGGGTCAGCTGTGACAGAAAGTAGAGCCCCAAGTTTACCTGAGGTGAAACACCTCACATGGAGACATTCACATCAGTCCACCATTGTGGCTTTCAACACGCACACTTTCCACAGCTACACTCATTTCTTCCCCCAGGAGAAGTGGGTGGTCACTAGACACGACAGATTAAAGATCAAAGAGAGATCTGCGTTACTCTCTCCTCCGAGTTCTTTCTGAATTCTATGAAAGAGGGAGGATGCGCTAAGGTTTCTAGGAGCTGCTTTTAAATAATAGCTGGCTTAGGGCACACTAGTGTGCTCCTGGGAGAGGGTGTGTGTGCATGCATGTGCGTGCACGTGTGTGTGTGTGTGCGTGTGTGTGT